GCACGCATGGTACTGAGGTTTTCATTACAACCCCACGTCTACCACAACCCTGACATTCCTATTTGGAATGGCACTTCTTGGTCGGGCTGCCATGGCCCTTCTTCTCTTTCTGTTTCGGTAGGCTGTGAAGTGCAGTTCATTCATCTGCTTTCGGATCTTGTCGGGATTTGCCATAAAATATCTAGATAATCCAATTGCAGATTTTCCCGATGAAGTGTTATCTCCGTCTGGCCGATCCGATGCCATATTTTGTGGGTCAGCCACAGTTTCGTCGTGTTTACTTGCGCGGTGATCTGAAGATGAAGGATGGTAAACAGGGTGCCAAGGTGAGACTTAACTGTTCAAATTCCAATCCATACAGTGGAAAGCGCACAGACGCTCCTTCAGATTTGGAAAAGAGAGGGGGGAGGGTGATGGGTGGAAAGAAACGTGTTTCGGATTTTGTCATAGATATCTGGAGTAGGGGAAGTGCTGAAACACTACTTGCTTGCACAGTGCTTACATAATGAGGACGGAGAGGAGCCCAACTTGAAGCGATTTTTGCAACAACAAGAGCGATAGAAGCTCGAAATTTTGTGGATAAACGCCGAGGTCATGTGCCGGAAATCGTATTGTCTCAGTTTTTTGAATTTTCCTTAAAACGAATGCAGAGCAACTAAATTCTCTGACCAATGCGTTGGTTGATTTTTGCATACTCTGTAATTTGACGCTTTTAAAAAAAAAGCTAAGGTTTTCTTTAAATCTTTCCCCTCCAATTTTTTTTTTACTTTTTTTGTAAATTGCAGGTAGATGCGCACTGTATTTTGTTCACGGATCTCTTTCTTATTTGTAAAGCTTTCAATAAACGGTACGATCGACTGAGGATACTCAAATCGCCAATACATATCGCTAAAATGTGCCTTCAACAATTTCCCGATTACTGTAAGTTTTCAGAGTTTCGTGAAAAAAAAATGATTTAAAACAAGTTATTTCGTGGAAAAATATGAGATCGATGAACTGAGGATCTTT